TTGTGCAGAGGATGGCGGTTAGTGCAGAAATTCAAAACTGGCTCAGGTGCAGTGAGGGGTCACTGGCGTATTCAGCCACAGAGCAGACATCTCTATTACCCGTCCCCCAGGGCCCAGGGCCCAATGTGGAAGAGGAGGTCAGGGAGGACCAGACTGAGACAGTGTCTTCTGGACATGACAGAACCACTGTCCTCGTGCATTCACAGCAGCGGACATTGCCTTCCACAAGAACCAGCCAGGCAATATTCCAGCATGAAGAAGGGAGGGGCTCAGCAGCTCCCTCCTCCGAGGAGCTATTGATTGACAGCTGATGGCTGCTAAGGGAGGGGGAGCCAGTTTTCTCTAAGGGTGTGTATTGCTCTTCTGAGGCTGTGATAAAATACCATGACTGCCGGGTGGTGGTGGTGCACGCCCTTAATCCCAGCACTTGGGAGGCAGAGCCAGGCGTAGCTCTGAGTTCGAGGCCAGCCTGGGCTACCAAGTGAGTTCCAGGAAAGGCACAAAGCTACACAGAGAAACCCTGTCTTGAAAAACCCCCCAAAAAATACCATGACCAAGGCAGCTTATGGAGGAGTTTATCTTGGTTTAAGTTTCCAGTGGCACGTATAGCAGCAGGAAGCAAACAGAGTGAACTGCATGATCTACAAGGCTATAAGCTAGTGATTCTCAACCTGTGGGTCGTGACCCCTTTGGGGGGTCACATCAGATATCCTGCATATCAGATATTTACATTACGATTCATAACAGTAGAAGAATTATAGTTATGAAATAGCACTGAAAATAATTTCACGGCTGAGGGTCAGCACAGCTTGAGGAACCGCATTAAAGGGTCGCTGCATTAGGAAGGCTGAGAACCACTGCTACAAACTCTCAATGACTACTTCTGAGGGATGCACCTCCCCCTGCAAGGCTATACCTCCCACAGTCTCCCTGACTGGAGACCACGTGTTTAAATACGTGAACCTAGAGGGGACATTCCTCATTCAGCTCACACCACAGTGCAGCTGCTGGTAGGTTGATCACACGTCGGCACATGGCCCCGTACCCACGAGTTATTTACAGGTAGCACAAATCGGACTCCACAGTTATTCAAAAAGTAAAAGGGGAAAGAGAGGACATGAAATTGGGAGTGCCCTTAGAAGCCGGAAGGGCAGTGGGCTGAGCAGGGGTTACAGGCACTTAGGAACCACCTGATGGAGGTGCCGGGACCAAAATTCAGGTTCTCTACAAAAGCAGTACATGCTCGTAACCACTGAGCCCTCTCTCCAGCCCCCACAGCATGGAAGATGGAATGATCACAGACGACCTTGCAGACACAATGGAGGCTAATTTCCTGTTTCTTCAAAAGTCCCTTTCAAAAAACAAAACAAAACAAAACCAAAACAAACAAACAACAGCAGCCGGGCGGTGGTGGTGCACGCCTTTAATCCCAGCACTCAGGAGGCAGAGCCAGGTGGAGCTCTGTGAGTTCCAGGAAAGGCACAAAGCTACACAGAGAAACCTTGCCTCGGAAAAAAAAAGAAAAGAAAAGAAAAAAGTCCCTTTCGTGGCTAATCTTCCCCATTCGCCATAACCCAAACAGTGCAGTACTAGTTGTAAAGTAAGTGATATCAACAAAAAAGAATGTAGGGAAATAAAACCCCACAAACTTCCCTTTCATCTGTATTACTGCTCCTTACCTGGTGATCCCAGACTAGAAAAGTCAGTCTAACTGTTATCAGTTCAACTATTTAAAAAATAACGTGGGATGTGAAACCTTACAGGGTTATTTCATAAGCCATTTCAATACCAAGCCAATGTGTGGATATTTAAAGGTCTAAAGAAATCCTTAATATCAAATTAAAATCTAAAATGCTCTGAGAATCCAGATGCTAAAAACTTCTAAAAGACAAAAATAACAACAACAAAAACCCTTAAGACAGGAAAGAGACCTTTTGAGCCAGTCTCAAGGGAAAACATGAACTGTATAGACTTGCATGTTGTCTCTTGTGGGACAACCATCAACAACCAAGGAAAATGCAGGAAAACTGCAAGTCATTCACGAGTTTCAAGAGTAAGTTGGCAGCCCTGCCTGCTTGCCTGAGGAGGCCTGAACCTTCCCAGCATTGCCATGGAAGAGTAGAACTAATGTGTGTCAGGTGGAACTTCTTGCCTCACAGTGGGTAGGTGTTAACTGTTTCTCAACCGGTGTGTCTGGGTCACCACCCCTTTGAAAAGGACTCTTTCACAGGGTCATCTAAGACCATCAGAAAACAGATATTTACATTACGAGTCATAACAGTCACAAAATTACAGTTATGAAGTAGCAAGGAAACTAGTTTTCTGGTTGGAGGTCACCCCAGCCTGAGGAGCTGTATTCAAGAGTGGGAGCATTAGCAAGTTTGAGAACCACTGGAAATCGTTTCTAACGGTTGTTACATTCCCACTCAAATGTGTCTTTCCCTCACAGCACTCAGTCCTATGGCCTTCCTCCTCACTAGTTTCATAGGTAGTTGGCATGCAAATTGAGAGCAGAGCCTCATCTTGGGAGGTCTTCTAACTAGCCCACAACAATAACTACCTCAGGCTCAAGGCTTGGGTTCTTCCTGCTCATGCCCACTACCTACCCATGACAGGTCGTCACTTCCTTTTCTGTATATTCGTGTCCTGGTTGGAAAAATATTAACACACCCTCTAACACACACACACACAGACACACACACACACACACACACACACACACTTCTAAACTTTTTATTTCCGTAACACAGACATGGCTCGCCACTTTTCCTTAATAGATTTGTTAAAATTCCAAAGGAATCTGTATGATCAGAAAAGCATGGCAACACGGATACACTGCATTTTGTCCCAGAATATCCACTTCGCACTTCGTTCAGTCACATGTCTTTTAGGCCGCTCTGATTTCCAGATCCCACTGACCAGTACCTGTTGACACCTCATGTACTTCATGGGTATCAAAAACCTCACCTAAAACGAATCCTCAACCGTTCCAAGTCTTTCTTCCCCAGTTTCCCCGCAAAGGGTATCACCATAGTAAAGTTCCACAAGACCGAACTTGACTTCCCCTTTACATTCACCCATCACAGTCTGTCTGTCGCCACCTGTCAAACGCGCCCCGTCCTAAGTCAAAGTTCTTGCCTGCCGTCCTTTATCTTGAAAAGCAGCGCCAGAGCTGAGAGGAAATCAAGACAGAGTAGAGACCAGACTGCCCTCCCCGTATGAAATGTCTGCATTGCAACCCTGGGTTTATGATAACTCCTGCACGGAGTCCACTTTGTATTTGCACCAACAGGTTTTTTGGATCACGTGAAGTCGTCTCCTGCCTCAGGGACTTGATATGTATTCTTTCAGCCTCATGGTCAACAGCCACTTGTGTGTTTAAGTTAAAGCTCCGTTTCCGGTCATGAGATGCTATGAAAAAGGGGTGTGAAATTTCTGAAAACAATAACCCTGCAATTATGTACTGAGGGCCTGCGCTTGTCCGCAGTCGCTCACACTAAAGGAACGGAAGAGAAAAAGGAGTAAGGCAGAGTTTCAAGCAGACCACTACCAATTGTTTCGAGGGATCAGGGCACCCCAGTGGAAGTTCCCTGAAGCCTCTTGGGGAATATTATCTTCCCCCCACACACGCGTGGCTGAGACCAGGCCTCTGGGCTTCAGTGCACACTTGCTCGGCCCCAGACCATCCCGTGTGTCTGGCTTCACTTCGTTTTCCAGCAGAGAAAGTATACACTACCACGCCTGTGACCTCCAAGGTCAGGAGCATATAGCCAATCCTGGTCTCCAGGCTGTCCTCTGCTGCAAACTGCACCGAAACCGCTGTCGCCCGTGCTTTCTCCGGAGTTTCCTCCTCAATGCAAACAATGTCCACCCCGACCCCGGCCCGGGGAACGACCTGCACCCGCCCGGCCACCTCGGTCTGCCGGCAGAGCCCAGAAGCCGCAGCCCGGCCGGGGATCACCAAGGGCGCTGGGCTCACCTCGTAGCAGTGCCATGGTGAATTCAACTGGGTTAGTCCGCTGGGGATGTCTCGGCGACGCCCGGGTCACCCGCCCTAGCCCAGCCTTAAGAGTGTGGGCGGCGCCCCGCGAGGCCGCGCCCCCTGCCCTTTTCCCTACATTCCCCAGCCCCCCACCTCCAGCTCCCTCCCTGCTCTGCCAGGGTCAAGGTTACCCTAATCTTGTGCTACGGTTGCCCCGTGCCCCTCCCCTGGGAACCAGGAGACGACCTCGGCCGCACACCCATCTGGCTTCTGAAAAACCCTGCTCGCTCTATTTATCTATCTCCAGGAACGCGCATTGCAGAACAGGACCGGCGCCAAGACACCCCCGCTCCGCGCCCCCCATCCCCAACCCAAGCGGGAAGCAGGCGGGGCGGACGGCAGGGGGCGGGGCCCGAAGGCAAGGGCGGGGCCGACGGCAGGGGCGGGGCCGACGGCAGGGGGCGG